TAGGGCTGCACGATTAATCGCATGCGATATTTAACGCGCATCTTATCAGTAAAGCCGGTTCCGTAATCAGCGGTAAATCTCCATCACCTGCGGGCTTTCACATTGAGCAGCATTAACTACACAGAGCCGTTGTTCACTGATGAGCTGCGCTAAACCACGTTCATATTCGCGCGATTTTTTGCGCTGCTCATCAGTGAACAACGGCTCTGTGTAGTTAATGCTGCTCAATGTGAAAGCCCGCAGGTGATGGAGATTTACCGCTGATTACGGAACCGGCTTTACTGATAAGATGCGCGTTAAATATCGCATGCGATTAATCGTGCAGCCCTAGTTGATACTGACGTTGCTGTCACCTGCACTTGAATGCACTGAATTCATATATGCCATGACAGTACTTGATATTCTTTAAAGATCTACCTTTTACCTTTCAAATGTAAAAAAAAAAATTAAATGCTCTCATTGATTGACTTTCTTTGTCTCTTAAACAGTTTCCACTGTTGAGTTTTGGAGAACAGTGCTTAACTAATATGCAGCAAGAAGAGTGCTGGTGGCAAAGTACTCTGTGTTCCCCTTTATTTCCAAGTTCTCAGTGCGGAGGTAAGAAGAGTACAATATTTAGCCGTATTAGATACTAGGGAAGTCAGTTGTACACTGCTTTGATAAACCCATTGATCCATCAATAGGGAATAATCATGAATAATCTTACTGTCAAATTATAGACACTACATTGAATGGAAAAGGGAGTATGTGTGTAAGTTTGCTTAATACTAAATGTTGTACCCTCCTTTGCTTCTAGGAAGCAGTAATGTATGATTCTTCTGCTGAGCGTGGAGGCATACCAATGCTAATTTCCTCCTATCACTTTCAACCAAAACCCAGAGGAGGGATAGGAGGACCCTTACAAGAACAGTGAGACCAGGGCATATCACCAAGATGAAAGCATAAAGAGAGGAAAACATGGCAATAGGTTGAACGTACAGTTAGCTGATTCTGGTCAACAGCATTTATTATAGACTTGTTTTCAGTCTGTTAATTCCAAGTTTGATCAATTTTGAAAAGAATAAAAAAGGCATAGCTAAGCATTAAGATTGTTCTTTAATTTACCCCTTATAGATTTTAGCTTCACTTTTATGTTTGATCTGGGATACACTATAACTGTGGTCCTACTGATTGTGCATGTGCTTGTGAACCTAGTCTCAGTCCTTCTAATAGTCTAAGTTTCTGTGACCGAACTATGAATACTCAGAAGTCAGGTTGAAAGCACTACGATTGCGACACCCCCTTCCCTAATCAGATAATTTAGCATTGTTCTTATTTTTTCCTTTTAAATGACTTGTAGAGGATAGAGTTGTGTGAGGTTTGGTGTGTTGAAAGAAAAAGTGCTTTTGCTCTTTTGCCCCCCCCCCCCCACACACACATTTGTTTTGTCACATACATTTTTTGTTTCTTCCCTTTTATTTCAATGCAGCTTTGAAAGCATCTTAAAGAAATAAAGCAGGGTAATATGTTGGTGTAATAATACAATAAGCAAAAAAACAAACAATTAAAACGGCTAAAACAGAAGGCTCAATGAAGAAATAACCCCCTTGTCCTTGAAATTCGAAGTTGCTTTCTTTGCTCGAGTTTCTTTTTTAATACAGCCATTGTGATAAATGTTTTACCATTTGCTAGGCTATTTTGTCCACTTCAGGTAAATTTTTTTTCTCTTCTTTTTATCCATATGTCAGATAGCTTGATTTGCAAAGTCACCTTTCCTAAAAGTACATTTTGGAAAGTGTCGTGGTTTCAAAGGACAGTTTACATTTTCCTGAATACAAGTATAGCAAGATATCTGGAAAGCATGTGAAATATAAATGCTGCAGATAAAGGGTACAAGGAAATTAAATTTTTATTTGGGGGGGGTGTAACTGAATATTTTGACCCAACTATACAACTTCATGTTAGTTGTTTCTATGTCTTTAAAACTATACAGTTTACACCATACAGTTGATCGAATCTATCAGTTGCAGCTTGATATTGTAGACATAATTTTGTGTGTTGTTTCTTTAAGTTTAGTGTAAATTTAACGTATTTCATTGAAATTTCATCCTCTTCTTTACACAACAAAATTGTGACTACTGATGATTTGTAATATGGCTTCATTGTTTTTATTTATTTTTATTTTTTTACATGAAAAGAATTGAGTGTTTCCAGTAATGGCAGTTTATTGCTTGAAGGTTGGTTCTTTTCATGTACTTTTCCATCTAATTGTTTCAGAAATATGTGGCTGTTTCATTGTGTGCTGATGCATCATACTAAAGGGGTGTATAAAAGCAATCTAATATTTTGGCACACCATAATTCTACAACCTTACAATATTAATGTTTGTTTGTGTTAAAAAAAATATATATACATAGGGTTTATTTGTGACATATGTCCCCACACTGCATAAGGCCCAAATTACTTTACCTACAAAGTTTGATAAGTTGCTTGCCTATATAATTTCTTTTGTGGCTTTGGAGTGAGAGGTGGTAGGGATATGGTGTTCATAATGAAAAATCCAGTCCATCGTAAATTTAATTTTTGCTCTAATACCATCTTATCCATTCACTTTCGTCTTCTTCACTCTAATGGATGTGTAGCTTTCCATCTGCTAGCTTAAATTTAACCTGGATGGGTATTTTCCCCGATTCAGTTTTTTGTTACAGATGTTAGCATGAGAAGTTACTACATGTATGCTACATCAGCAGAGTGTAAATTGCTACGATGTGTGAAATTTGGCGACATTTGCTTTTTTAGAGCACCCTCAAACGGTTTTTTTTTTTTTTTTTTTTTTTTTTTTTTAGTTGATAAATGTGTGCATTCTTTTTCTGTACCAATGTGGGGAAACTGGTTTTAAAGCATTACTTGTTTGTAAGGGGGAATTTGAATGTGGCAATGGAATAGAAAATGATATCGCCCCATTCATCATTGACCAACAGATGCCTTTGAAAAATTCCTTAATTGGGCACAAGGATTTAATTTTCTAAACTTTCTTTGGCATCAAATGTCAAATAAAATACTTTTTTTTTTTTTTTTTAAAGCAAAAAGGAAGAAAGAAAAAAAAAAAAAAAAATTAAATGTGCTTCTTCCCCCTTTGCAAGTGATAACGTTTTTGTTGACTGGAGTCTTTACAGTAAGATCTATAGAGTATTTTTTTCTGTTGGTGCTAATATTCATACACTACTGCAAAGATGTAATCTTCAAATGTGTGTAAGAAAAAAATGGCCACACAGTTAGTCCTTCTAAAAGATTTGTGCTTATTTTAACAGAAACAGGTTGGGCCTTGTTCTTGAGACAAGGTCAAGACCTAAAGTTTGTTAAAGTGTGTGATCCAGGACTGTAGACCATAACCTTGGAGAGATGATTTTGTATGACCCAGTTTGAAACGGCTTGTGTGTTTGTGTTTCCCCACATTATTTGCTCATTGTGGTTGTGGGAGTTTGATTATTGTTTTTCAAAGATCATAAATGAAATGTAAAGTGGTAGAAAGCAAGTATGATGGCATAAAGTTATTATACTGTATGCTATAACTGGGTACAGCAGTGCGTATAGACTCCTTTATTGGATTTGTATTTAGTTGACAAATAACATGTTACAATTCAATTTAATTTTTACAGTTTAAAATGCTGTCAGATTCCGAAATTCTATTACACATTGTTGCCATCACTTTCTCTAATCTATACCCAAGTTAATCCTTGTTCTGTCAAGCACTTTGAGTTAAATATTGCCGTCCTCCAAAATTGTTACTTGCATTAGTTTGGTTTATGATAAGATTAAGAAACTTGTTTATGGTGGGTGGGTGACAGAGGACAAAAGCATTTTAGATTTTGAGAAAATGCATAAATATAGTAAATGTTTTTGACAGTCAAATATAACAGAACAGCATAGACCGATTATTTACTGTTAAACAAATTTGAAATGGTTCCTCTCTTAGTTTGAACAGACTCATTTTAAAATAAAAAAAAAGTGACGACTTTTTTTTTGTATTTTTCAAGTCTAGCTCTGTGTGCGAGGTGGTATGGTTGCTGAAGAAAGACCGAGTACTCATGTCTGTGGAAGACTGAAAATTGCATTATTTGCATTTTCTTTTTTTTCAAAGGTTTTGGTTTAGTCAGTACATTTGAAGAGGTTGACTTTCAAGTTCTTAAAAGGTTTACGTTCTGATTGCAATGTTGTATAACTTTTAATGCAGAACTCTCTCAGTTGCAAATTGTGAAGTTTCTAAACCTTTAATAAACATTAGAAAAATCTTATTTGTTGTTTATTTGTGACCGTAAGAGAGTCTGATTTCTACAATCACTAGCCAGATTGCTAAATGTTGAATAGGTCACTTCTAGGTACACATTAAGCTTTGACTCTGGGCCAACCTGGTTATAACAGAATCAGACTGAGGGAAGTGCTTAATCTCCAAGTGGAACTCTGACCTTAAAGACTTTCCAGCACAACTTGTCACAGAAAATGACTTTACAAATACTGTAATTTGCTGTTTAAAGGATATTCTCAGTATTTTCCCTCAGTGCTTAGAGTAGGCCTAATAAAATGTTATATCCTACCCCGTACCAGCCACAGTAAAATCCAGTTACAAGTAGTTGCATGTTTCAAGTGCATTAAATCAGTACATAGGCCTATGTCTCTTGGTAGTAGTAAAATTAAAGGGGTCATATGATGCTTTTTAAAAGATCATTATTTTGTGTATTTGGTGTAACAGAATATGTTGACATGCTTTAATGTCCAAAAAACACATTATTTTTCAAATACTGTACATTATTGTAGGTCCTCTATGCCCCGCCTCTCTCAAACGCTTCGTTTTCTACAAAGTCCCTCCTTCCGACAAGCGCAGTCTGCTCTGATTGGCCAGCTGACCCAGTGCATTGTGATTGGCCGAACACCGCAAGCACTCGTCGGAAATGTAACGCCCCTTACCATAATCGCGAGCTTCATCTTTCAAAATAAATGTAAAGACAGAGCCCGAAAGGGGAACAGAGTCGCGTGACAGACAGTGATGAAGCTGGTGTGTGTTTGTGATGTGACCCCCTCTCTCTCTCGTGCTCTCTCTCTCTCTCTCCCTCTCGCTCGCTCTCTCTCTACTTAAACTAATAAAACACTGATTTCTGACAGTAACATCAAACACAACTGGCTGGACTCCTGGTAAGTAGACTGGTGAAGTACTGCTATTTGCAGCCAATGGTCAGGCGCATTCATTAAAGCTGGTGTGAGGAATGAGGGACGTTCACTTTAATCAGCCTGATGCAGGTTTAGGGGTTTGTTTTAGTTACTATAGCAACAGTCTGTCTACTGGTTACTGTTAAAATACTGCCTACGGTTTGATTACTTGGATTCTAGCAATAAACAGTATCTACGCATAAACAAACTTCACCTTCACACCGTGTGTACACGTGACGCCACAAAACTATAATAAATCACCGGAGAGTAGGCTACAATATGACACCGCGGGCAGCAGCAGCGTCGTAGTTTTATCGCGTCGCTCAGTGTGTACAGTGTCTACGGGGCACTGGAGCTCACTTCCTGATTTACTGACTGTCGGCAATATGTCCTAACGCTTTCAAAACGCTCTGCCTCTCTTTAAATGACAACGTTTTGTGTGCCTGAAAAGCAACATTACCTCCACAGGTGGAAGTAGCAATCGTTTTTGACTTTATTTGATGCAGACCATCACTTCATTCAGTCATAGCGCAGGTGGATTTATCGATTCGCATGGTTTCCTGGAACGTTTATATCGGTGAGGATGTTTTAAAATGGCGGTGGCAGCGTCACAACAGGTAAGATACTTTCCATTAGCTTTTATCTCGCTGTTAGCGTTACTCGTGCGCAAATAAGAGTTTAAACCTTTTGCAGTCAGGACACTTGCCGTTCTGTGAAAGTTTAATGTCTGATCACCCTAGGAATAGTGAAGTGCACAAGCAAGGCGAAAAGTTTTGAGTTAAGTTTAGAGTGTAGATGATAAATGAAATGCAGAAGTGCTCGTGAAAGCGAACAGTATTAATAATAGTGTTTAATGTGTTGTTTATTGGAGGGTCTGGAGTGAATGTGAGGAGGTGATGGACGCACACACATCTTTCCACCTGCAACAGGAACATGGCAGAAGCAGAGCACACGTCCAGTCAAAGCAATGATGGTGAGTTCAAAGAAACCTTGTAGGCTATGTAACAGGTATAGGCTCCAAGCTGTTTGTTTAGGGTCTGGCTATCAAAATGTTAACAGCAGTATTAGTATTATTACTCATTAGCATCACTGGGTTTTGAGTCATGGGGAAAAACAGGCTATAAAACTAAAAAATAAACTTCTATGCATCACATAAATAGTTTTGTTTAGTCATGTTTATGTGTGTATTCAACTGTGTTTGAGTGTAATCAGATGAAGCATTGAAAATGTATTTACTAATTGAGAAATCGAGCATGCACTTCAATGAATGAATGAATGAAAAGAGACTACAGGATAGTTTCAAACTGTTTTTCAGAGCACTTGCAATATTGACAAAGTAAACCTATATTGAACATCAGTGATTACAACTTTACTAAATGCAGTGGCCATTCTGTGTTTATACATTTGCTAGTTATGAATAATAGAGTGCAACAGTGCTCGCCCACTTTTAAAGCATGGTTCCAGACCAGAAGTATTTGTCCCATAGGGATTTTCCTGATTTACTGACTATGGAACCAAAAAAAGCTTTGAACAAAAATAACCAGGTGGTGACTCACAACGATACACATTTTGATTTGAAGCAAAAAAGTATTTGGAAAACAGACAAAGAGACCTAAGATACAAGACTATTTATGTAACGCCTTTAATAAGGGAAAGAACTACAATCCCATGAAGCATTGCCAGTCAAAACAATGGAGAAATAAAAAACTAAACTGTTTATATATACAGTGGGTACAGAAAGTATTCAGACCCCCTTAAATTGGCGCTGATATTTCTATTCTCTGATTTCTTGGCAGAATCATGCTTAATGTAGATATTATATTAAAATGTAATATGATTAGATTTAGGGAATGTAGAAATTTAAAAATGTCTCCATGTTTTGTCCTTATTAGAAATGATTAACTTTAAGTAGTTTCTAGCAATATTAGAATTTATATTTATATTTCAATTTATAATTAGTCTAGTTTAAGGATCAATTAAGGCCACAAAAACTTTTGCAGTAGGGTCTAATCTACAAAATACAAATGGACACACTTTGTTCATTGTTCTAGAAATGTTGTAACCATAACTTCTGTAATCTCTGTCATGCAGTCATATTTCCTTAAAAAACAGTTTACCTTTGGTGGTTTTGAGAAATTCAGAGAATGCTGATTGCCTTATGAGGGATTGCATCAGAGAACAACAATTTCATAGTATTTTACAAGCATTAGCAACACATCAGCTCAAAGAGCCAAGAAGTAGCTCTGTATGATTTAGTTGAAAGAGCTAATTATTAATTTGGATAAAAGAAATCGTCGTTTAAATCGGTTAGCTGTTTATCTTTGACTACAGGAACACAGAAAACTTAAAACTCAAAGACCAAAAATAATTATTTGAATTTGAGAAATGTATGGGCTGGGTCACTTCTGAAATTGTGAAAGTGCTGTTATAGTTTAAGGCGTGTATTGCTGGGTTATTAAAGTATTGTTGTCCTGTCAAAAGCTGCAGTTACTGATTGCACTTTCAATTGAAGATTTCATGGCTTTGTCAAGGCATGTTCTATCCACAATCGAATATTGGTTTGTAGATTATATGCACATATGTTTCTTTTGCAGTAGATGAACAGGTGCACACACCTGTCAGACACACTGAACCATATTCAATTGAGGAGGAAGAACCAGCAGAGCTCGAATTATCTGTTGCTTCTCCCATTATATATATATTGCATCCGTATCAGGCACAATATAAACATCATCTTTGCCATCTTTTTTGTTTTGAGCTGATGTTCTATTTTCCACTTTGTTTTTGATGTCCTGTTGATGTGCTACTGTGATGTCCTCAGGACGTATGCACCCCAGTCATTCTTCCTCTATCCTCATTAAGTCAAAGAGCTATGTTTGTTCAATTTTGATGGAAGATATTGTCCGCTAATTAAATTATCAAGGATGTTTGAGGACAGCTGTCTCATAGTTGAGCTGGTGGGAGTGTTGATGTGACGTTTCCTCAGGTCTTTGGGTCACATTTTTGGTATGCTTTCAGGTTGCTTTCTCTACTCCTGCACACTTGAGTTTTCATGTCACTCTTATTATGTAGAGAAGCTGGTCAGTGGTGTGGTGTGACTAGAGGTTGCTGTGCTGTTTTACAGAGGGAAGACTCCGAGAGGTGTTTACCCAGCCATGCACATTGAGTCTTGTCACCCTTCAGTTTACCTGGAATATTGACATATGGGGAATATAGTGTGGGCTGAGACCACAGACCTATCACCTAATGGAAAAATTAACATTAAAAATTGGGCCCAATTACTAATAATATGAAGTCATTTTTACATACGCATTTTTAATAATGCATTGCATTCTTTTTTATTTTGCGTTTTAGGGTTGAGGGAAATATGTATAT